GTGCGTCTTATACTCCGGTGCGTCTTATATTCTGAAAAATACGGTAAGTATTAAAATTAAGCCATGTCTTCTGGGTTTCAGATCTGGACCCCGTGGTCCTAAATCCAACCAAGATGGTGAAAGTCAACCGAAGCGAAAACCTTCAGTTGACCTGCTCTGGCAGTGGCTCCAAGACACCCACGTTGTCATGGAAGAAGGTAGGTAACATCCGCAAGGGCTTCCTTCATAAGTTACACATCTGCCGGAACATTGCATGGATCAAAGATGGCATCCATGGTCTGGACTTATTTGAAATCCTGAAGATTCACAAAACTGGCTGTTCCAGGGAATTTTTATACAAGTAGTCCTGTCATGTGCCAAGGAAAACAGAAGATCCGGGCAGTTCAAATGTTTATTGTAAACTAATGTTCTCTACAAGAATCTGAACTACTAACAGTCGAAGCAAATTGGCGGTAAATAAGGAATTCACGATGGGCTGGACTTAGCTCTCTTGTTGGCATGAAGGGACTCATGACTGATGATGCAGTTGACCTCTTCCTCAGACTGGTCATCTCCCACAAGTCCTTACTTAGTGAGCACAGCTGGGACCTGGTCACTAAATGAGGGAAATCATGAGAAAGCTAGGAGGGAAATCATGTGACTGCTTACAATTTTACTTCAGCTTTTATTTTCCCTGCTCCCCTGCCCATTAGATTGCTTACCTTAATGCCGGGATAATTACCAAGAAAGAAATTAATGTTTGTATTGACATTCATTGGAGAGGAAGGGATTAAAAGAGAATAAACAGGCAGACAATGGGGAAATACACATGGCTACTCTCTTCTGATCCCTTCCTCTACAATCCCTCCACTCTGCCAGGCGGATCAGACAAGACGAGAGATGTCTAAAGAGATGACACTCTGGCGAGATGGGAAATGGTTTGGAACGGATCCTCCCTGCTTCGGATACCGGTTTTAGTGCTGGTCTCGTAAACGAAAAGCTACGTTAAATCTCTAAAAGCAAGGAATCCGGAAGAATCGATAGCGCCCCTTTTCCCACCGATAGATTTTACGGAAAGGCACGATCTCACAGAAGCCGATGCGTTTTCCATGAACTTTCCTAGTAGGAGCAACAGAACAAGGGCTGGGGGTCTCTTTCCATTTCCTTGAATCGCTTCGGAAGTGACTTCTTCACATACAACACACACACACACACACACACACACACACACACACACACACACACAAACCACACCCCTTTGGACAAAGAATAGAAAGACACACACGCACAAACACACAACCCTTTTATGAGGCAAATAGTAGAAACTCTCTCTCTCTCTTTCTCTCTCTCTCTCTCACACACACACAGACATACACAAACACACCTTTGGGCAAATAGTAGAACCGTGATGGCGAACTGTGGCACATGGAGCCATATCGGTAGGCACGCGAGTGTTGCCCTAGCTCAGGTCCAGTGCGCATGCGCGCCCTGGCCAGCTGATTTTCAGGCCTTCTGGGCCCACCAGAAGTCCAGAAACAGGCTGCTTCTGGCCTTCTGAGGGCCTCCAGGGGGGTGGGGAAGGCTGTTTTTGCCCTCCCCAGGCTCCTAGAAAGGCTCTGGAGCCTGGGAAGGGTGAAAAACAGGCCTACTGGGCCCACCGTGCCATCGCGTGCCAAAAGCGGGGGGGGGGGGGGTTCAGGGGGATGGGGCTCATTGAATTATGGCTGTGGACAAGCGTGCGCATGGCCCCCTGCACTCCCCCCGCTTTCGGCACGCGATGTCAAAAAGGTTAGCCATCACTGTAGTAGAAACTCTCTTACGCACGCAAACACAGACCCTTTGGGCAAATAATAGAAACACACACTCACATACTCACACACACAAACACACCCCTTTGAAGCTTTCCTAGTAGGAGCGATAAGACTCCGTTGGATTCAATTTTCCAGCCATCGTTTCGAGATATGGACCCCCAGTGCAAAAAGAAAGGACCCCGTTCTGCATTTTGAACTTGATTGAATTGAGACGGTTATCTCCTCTGGAGGACCCGAGGCAGGGGATCACATCTGGGGTAACAGCAGCAATCTTTTATTTTTATTTTATTTTTTAAATTTCTCCTGCAGGGAAGGCAGCAGATGGGGACCGGCGAGACTCTATCGCTGACAGATCTGACATACCCCATGGCAGGCACATATGTCTGTGAGGCTTCTGTACCCAGCATCTCCGGACTGAAACGGAACGAGTCCATCCAAGTTATTGTAGAAGGTAGGTAGGTAGGTAGGTTTCTGTGGACCACCCATATTTTCTTGCCGATCACCAATGGTCCACGGACCACCAGTTGGTAACTGCTGGCCTAGATAACTTTCCTTTTGTAAACAGTTTGGCCCACACATTTGTCGAGGTGTGACACTCTTCGTTCAGAGGTTATTCTTTACACAACTTTTCCTAGAAAGATGAGACGAGACAGCCCTGGCGAGGCTGTGAAGATTAGTAGGAACTGTCAGACAACATAGCTCAGGGGGTGAGGACGGGGTTAGAAGTCAGATCCTTGCCCTTCCCTCTGACTCGCGTGTACACACACGCGTTCCAACTAGTTTACTTAATCTACTATTCACATTTTTTTGGAGCCCAGCCTTAAAACTTTGAGCACTGGGATGCCAGAATAACAGTCTTGGAAGGGACCTTGGAGGCTCAAGGCAGGAAACCCTCTGCCATTTCAGACAAATTGTTGTCCAATCTCTTCTTAAAAATCTCCACCCACAACTTCTGGAGGCAAGTTGTTCCAATTATTAATTGTTCTCACTGCCAGGAAATTTCTCCTTAATTCCAGGTTGCTTCTCTCCTCGATTAATTTCCATCCGTGGTTTTTTGTCCTGGCGTCAGGTGCTTTGGAGAATAGCTTGACTCCCTCTTCTTTGGGGCAGCCCCTGAGATATTGAAACACTGCTATCATGTCTCCCCTAGTCCTTCTTTTCATCAAAGTAGACATACCCGGTTCCTGCCAACTCTTCTTCATATGTTTTAGCCTCCAGTCCCCTAATCCTCTTGGTTGCTCTTCTCTGCACTCTTTCTAGAGTCTCAACATCTTTTTTACATCGGGGCGACCAAAACTGAATGCAATATTCCAAGTGTGGCCTTACCAAGGCATTATAAAGTGGTATTAACACTTGACGTGATCTTGATTCTATCCCTCTGTTTATGCAGTCTAGGATTGGTTTGGCTTTTTGGCAGCTGCTGCACACGGCTGGCTCATGTTTAAGTGGTTGTCCACTAAGACTCCAAAATCCCTCTCACAGTTACTACTGGTGCCACCTTTACTATACCTGTGCATTTGGCTTTTCTAGTCTCAGTGTAGAGCCTGACTTTTTTCATCATTGAATTTCATTTTGTTAGATAGGGGCCAATTGTCCGTCCATCTCCATCTCTCTCTCCCTCCTTCCGTCTCCCTCTCTGTCTCTCCCTCCCTCCCTCCCTCTTTCTCTCCCTCCTTCTCCCTCTCTCTGTCTCTCTCTCACACTCCCTCCCTCCCTGTCTCTGTCTCTCCCTCCCTCCCTATCTCTCTCTCTCTCTGTCTCTCTCTCACACTCCTTCCCTTTCTCTCTCTCTCTCTGTCTCTCTCTCACACTCCCTCCCTTTCTCTCTGTCTCTCTCTCACACTCCCTGTCTCTGTCTCTCCCTCCCTCCCTTTCTCTCTCTCTCTGTCCTCTCTCACACTCCTTCCCTCTCTCTCTCTGTCTCTCTCTCACACTCCTTCCCTTTCTCTCTCTCTGTCTCTCTCACACACTCCCTCCCTTTCTCTCTGTCTCTCTCTCCCTCCCTCCCTTTCTCTCTCTCTCTCTCTGTCTCTCTCTCACACTCCTTCCCTTTCTCTCTCTCTCTGTCTCTCTCTCACACTCCCTCCCTTTCTCTCTCTCTGTCTCTCTCTCACACTCCCTCCCTCCCTGTCCTCTGTCTCTCCCTCCCTCCCTTTCTCTCTCTCTCTGTCTCTCTCTCCCACTCCCTCCCTCCCTCTCTCTGTCTCTCTCTCACTCTCATTCTCTGATACAGGAAAGCCAGAGGTAGAAATTCAACAAACCATCATCCAAGAGCTGGACCAGACAGTGAAACTCACCTGTACCGTTTTAGGCCATCCTCAGCCAGAGATCAGATGGAGTATACCTGGTGGCAAGGTGAGTCCATCCAAGGCCTGGCAAACACCAAACAACAAGATCTCTTCCTCATCACTCGACGCTCTTTAGGGTGCAAGGTTTTCAAAATATATTCGGTAAACAGACGCAATTCTGTATGCCCTTACCTAAAGTCCTCTCTTTGCTAAACAGAAGTCGTAAACGTGAATGATTAAGAGTTTTTTTACCCTAATGATTTTGTTTCAGTTTTGCCAGCTTTCTAGATTTATCCTTGATTTTTTTTCCAAGAAATTACGGTCATCCTATTTAAGGCAGATGAAAAAAATCAAAGGACTTGAATCGAGGGTGTACAATAGTCCTTGGTTAGGGACCGTTCAAAGTTCTGACAGATCCCCCTAAAAGTACTTACAACTCAAATTAGCATTGATCATATGCATTTAGGACCATTTGCCTTGTCCTATAGTCCTGTGACTGATTTATTGTGGTTGGGTTTTTTGCATTTTTTGAAACCGGCATGTACTTCTGGTTTCTTCCCCCAAAAACACCCATTGCGAACAATGGTTTGCTTAACAACCACAGCATTCACTTAACGGCTGCTGCTGCAAAAAAACGAATGGAAATGTGCAAAATCCTTTTTTGACTCTCTCTCTCTCTCCAGGCGCCCGTAAAACACTCGTCAAATAAATATATTGCTGAATTGTTAGTGGAATTGACCCCCAAATTAATCCAAAGCGGAGTTCAGTGCACAGCAGAGAACATGTATGGCTCGGTCAAAAAGAACTTAGAGCTGAAAATGGGTAAGAAACTCCTTTTTTGGTCTGCTGTGTGCCTGTTTGTGGTTGTAGGTATGCACGGGTGGGCTGTGAGTGGGCAAAATTTTCAGATACAGGTAAGTCCTCGACTTATGATGGTTCACTTAGCGACCGTCCAAAGTTACAACGGCCCTGAAAAAAAGTGACTCAACGACCGTTTTTCACACTGACGACCGTTGCGCCTTCCCCCGTGGTCATGCGATCAAAATTCAGACGCCCGGCCACCGACTCACCTTTATGACGGTCGCAGTATCCGTTTTGCGACCTTCCGATAAGCAAAGCCAGATTCACTTAACAACCGTGTTACTAAGTTGCAGGAGTTCACTTAACAACAACTGTGGCAAAAAAATTAGGTCGTACAACGGGGCAAAACTCCCTTAACAGATGTCTCGCTTAACGACAGGGGCTCAAATTGCAGTCATTAAGTCGAGGACGATCTGTAAATTTAACATATAAATTAACCCAACCGCTAAACCCTGAGCTACAGATACTCCTTACTACAATTGAGGGTGTGATTAGATATTTTATATTGCAATGGTGTTGCAAATATCATAAATACATGCTGGTTGCCCGAATTTTGACCACGGGGATACGACGGTCATAAGTCGAGGACTACCTGTACCTTAAAAGTTGCCAAAGTTTGAGAAACCCTGGTTAGATTTTGGAGTGTACTTTGCTTACTAATCTCTCTCTCTCTCTCTCTCTCCTTGTAGTTACTCCAACACCCTCCGTCTCTTCGAAGCCGGCTTGTAAGTATTTTCTTTCCCCCTTTCTCCCTTTCTGTTTTTGTGCTAATTGGAAAGGGCGGTGGATGAGGATGATGGGAGTTGTAGTCGGACGCAGCTAGAAAACCCCAAGTTAGCCGTTCCGCCAAGACAGCCATGGAGGACCTGATGGTGCCCAAATCTTCTTTGGTTTCACCGGTGCACCCCCCACCCCCCACTTTCTTCCCCCCCCCTCCCCAACAGTGGAGGAGGAACAGGGTCAAACCGGAAGCACCGTGGCGGTGATTGCGGTGTGCGTCTGCGTCCTGATCCTTCTCCTGATCGTGGGTTTCTTCTACTTCATGCAACGCCGGGGTCACTTGCCCTGCAGCCGGGGAGAGAAAAGATCGCTGTGAGTGACACCCGTCGCGCTGGGCAGCCCGGAATCGGTGTTCTAAGGTGGTGTGGGGAAACGGTTTCCCCACTTAAAATTTCCCCCTTAAAATTCCTCTAAGGCAGTGTTTCTCAACCTTGGTAGCTTGAAGATGGGTGGACTTCAACTCCCAGAATCCCCCAGCCAGCGCTGCTGGCTGGGGGATTCTGGGAGTTGAAGTCCACCCATCTTCAAGCTTCCAAGGTTGAGAAACACTGCTCTAAGGCATGGGGAGAGAGGAGAGGAAGGAGGGAGAGAGGCAGGGAGGGGGGGATGGAAGGGAGAGAGGGGAAGGGGAGACGGAGGGAGGGAAGGGCAAGGGAAGAGAAGGGGGAGAGGGAAAAGAGAGGGGAGAGAGAGGAGAGGCAGGGAAGGGAAGGGAGAGAGGGAGGAGAGGAGAGGGAAAAGGAGGGGAAAGGGGAAAGGGAAAGAGCAAAGGGGAGGGAGAGAGAGGCAGGGAGGGGAAGGAAGGGAAGGGAAAGGGCAAAGAGGAGAGAGAGGGGAAGGGAAGGGAGAGAGGGAGGGGACCTGAAGTGGAGGGGAGAGCTGGAGGAGAGGAGAAAGAAAGTGGAAGGGAAAGAGAGAGGAGAGGGGAAGGGAAGAAAAGGGAGAGAGGGAGGAGAGGAGAGGGAAAAAGAGGAGAGAGAGGAAAGGGGAAGAGCAAAGGGGAGGAGAAGGGAAGGGAAGGGAGAAAGAGGAGAGGCAGTGAAGGGAAGGAAGAGAGGGAGGAGAGGAGAGGGAAAAGGAGGGGAGAGAGGGAAGGGAAAGAGCAAAGGGGAGGGGAGAGAGAAGAGAGGAGAGGGGAAAGGAAGGGAAGGGAAGGGAAGGGAGGAGACCTGAAGTGGAGGGGAGAGCTGGAGGAGAGGAGAAAGGGAAGTGGAAGGGAAAAAGAGAGGAGAGGGGAAGGGAAGAAAAGGAAGAGAGGGTGGAGATGAGAGGGGAAAGGGAGAGAGCAAAGGGGAAGGAAAGAGAGAGAGGGAGGAGAGGAGAGGGAAAGGGAGGGGAGAGAAGGACGGGAGAAGAAGGGAAGGGAGAGAGAGCAAATGTGAAGGCTCTTCTTGGATGTGCTCTGAGCTTTCTCCCTTACATTACCGACCTCCATAACATCATCAAGTGTGGGGTGTGTGGGGAATGGACGTTTCTGGCTGTTTATATTTGCTTGTCCGTCACGGGGTGTTTGGTTCTAGTTTGAAGAACGCGTGTTGAATTAGGGGGTGGTTTTCTTCTGCGTTCAGGACCCCCAAGGAAGGGACTCCGGATAACACCGTGGTGGAGATGAAGGCTGACAGGCGGAACGAACAGACGGGGCTGCTGAGTCCCGGAGGCGGCGGTGGTGGTGGTAGAGGAGGAGGAGGAGGCGGGACGAATGAGGTGAGGAGGGGGCTGGGTGGGCCAAGGATAAGAGACCCACCCCCCACCCCCCGCCCTTTAAGCTTCAGAGTGACAGCCTTTGCAGCAGGAAGGGGTGGGAAACCTTGGCCCTTTTTAAGACTTGTGGACTTCAACTCCCAGAATTCCCGAGCCAGCCATGCTTGGCTCCTCCAGACCCTCCCTTAAGGGGAGGGGCCTTAAGTTCCCAGAATTCCCAGCAATGGCCAAGCTGCCAGTTAAGAATCCTGGGAACTGAAGTCCCATCTATCTGGTGTGCTTGCAGGATTAGGGGGAAAGGAGAGATTGGGGCAAGGCAAAGGAGGACAATGGAGTGTGAATTAATGCCGTCTTTTTTTCCTTCTTCTCTCCCTTCCCTTGTTCCTCCAATCCCTCTTCTTTCCCTCCCTCCCTCTTCCAAATGCTCCTTGCTTCCTCCCTCCCCTCTTCCAAATCCTCCTCCTTCCTTCCTTCCTTCCTTTCTTCCTTCCTTCCTTCCTTCCTTCTCTCTTCCAAATCTTCCTCCCTTCCTTCCCTCCCTCTTCAAAATTCTCCTTCCTTCCCCTCTTCCACATCTTCCTTCCTTCCTCCCTCCCTCCTCTCTTCCATATTCTCCTTCCTCCCTTCCTTTGCCTCTTCCATATCTTTCTTCCTTCCTTCCTCCCTCCCTCCCTTTCTCTCTTCCATCTCTTCCTTCCCCCTTCCTTCCTTCCTTCTTTTCTCTCTTCCAAATCCTCCTTCCTGCCTTTTCCTTCTTCCAAATCCTCCCTCCCATCCCTCTTCAAAATCATCCTCCCTCCCTCCTTCCTTCCTTCCTTCCCTCCCTCTTCCAAATCCTCTTTCCTTCCCCTCTTCCACATCTTCCTCCCTCCCTCCCCTCTTCCATTTCTTTCTTTCTTCCTTCCTTCCTTCCTTCCTTCCTCCCTCCCTTTCTCTCTTCCATATCTTCCTTCCTTCCCCTCTTCCTCCCTCCCTCCCTCCCTCCTAATCCCCTTCCCTTCCCTCCTTCGCAGTGCTGAGCAGAGGGAAGTTGGACCTGTCTTCTACCAAGGGAGGCCCCTTCCCATTCTGTACCACCCACAATGGATGGAGAAGATTCTGGAGAGGATCCTGCCAGGGCATGACAGCCCTCCCCCTCCCTCCCTCCTTCCCTCCCCCACCCTCCTCCTTCCCTCTCCGTGGAGGCAAGGGGCTTCCTTCTCACCTAGACTTTGTGTCCGGAGAGGTGGAGAGGCCAAGTGGGGGGGGGGAGAGCTATTCTGCCAACTACTTCTTCCTCCTTTAAAAATACCACATTTTGGAGGTGATGTTTATTTTTATTTTTATTTTTTTTGGCTTTGTTTTTTTTTTTTTAAAAAAAAGGAACTGACAATTATCTGGACAGACGCTCCGTGTTTAGCCTCCGGCATTTCCTAAACAAAGTCGCCCACAGACAACATTGATGTCAGGGAGACAAACCAACTTTGCAGAAGTTGCTAACTCATCGATTTTCGACGTTCCTTTTTTTTATTTTTTATTTTTTTATTTTTTTAAACCAACTTTCAGCAAGCCCGTCTCTGCTACGATCTAAAACGAACTGTGTTTGGTTAACCCTCCCGCTCACTCCGAAAGCGAGTTCACACAAACCTTTGGCACAATCCTGGGTGTACGTTCTCCGGTGTTCCTGGGCACGCCTGTCTGCCCCGTGTTTGCTCAGTGTTTATGCATGCCCCAAAAGCCAGCCTCCGAGAGATGTCCTCATCTCTCAGTTTCGACCCTCTCGCAGCTTGCCGTTCTCGGAGGGCCCGTCACTCACCTGTAGATCTCTCTAGCAAGCATTCTTCTCCCACTCCTCCTGGTGCAATTAACCGGTGGAATTGCACCGCTTGCCTCCAGAAGTTGTGGGGGGGCTCCACCGCTGGAGTTTTGTTTTCGTTTTTTAAAGACGAGATTGGACAACCAATCTGCAATGGTATAGGGCAGTTTTTCTCAACTTTGGTAGCTTGAAGATGGGTGGACTTCAACTCCCAGAATCCCCCAGCCAGCAGCGCTGGCTGGGGGATTCTGGGAGTTGAAGTCCACCCATCTTCAAGCTTCCAAGGTTGAGAAACACTGGTATAGGGCCTCCGACTCTGCTATTCTGGGGAGGAGGGTATTATATCCCCTTTATAACCTGTGGACTTCAACTCCCAGAATTCCTGAGCTCAGGAAATTCTGGGAATTGAAGTCCACAGGTTGTAAAGAGGACATACTTAACCCTTCCTCATACTCGTATGTCCCTCTGCATTGGAGCCTTGGAATTCAGCCTCTGCTTTAACAGCAATTCGATCTGTGAAAGGAGCGATCTATTAAAGGCGCAAGCAATGACGTTCCTATCAAACCACAAAGACCAGTAGTCCTCGGCTTACGACAGTTCCTTTTAGTGACCGTTCGAAGGGACAAGGGCCCTAAAAAAAAAGTGACCGAAGACCACTTATGACGATTGCAGCATTTCCCCCATTGATCATGTGATCAAAATTCAGGTTTGGCGACGGTTGTATCTCCCTTTTGCGACCTTTTAACAATCGGGGAAGCCCGATTCACTGAACAACCATGTTACTAAGTGAAGCACTGCAGAGGTTGACTTAACCGACGTGGCCAGAAACGTCGTAGAACGGGGGCCAAAACTCACTTTTAACGAATGTCTCACTTAGCAAGGTAAATTTGGGGCTCCGTTGTGGTCGCTAAATCGAGGACTATCGGTCTAGCCTAGCGCTGATTCCATCAATCCCCGATCCTCTGTCTAAACGGCTTCGAATTCGGCCAGTGGCTTCGAATGTATGGATTTTTTTTTTCCCCTGAGTCCAATTTTTCTTTTTTTTTAATTTGATTTATATGCCGCCCTTCTCCGGAGACTCAGGCGGCTTACAATGCGCTAAGCAATAGCCTTCAAACTTTTGTATATTTATACAAAGTCAGCTTATTGCCCCCACAAACTGGGTCCTCAATTTACCTACCTTAGAAAGGATGGAAGGCTGAGTCAACCTTGAGCCTGGGGAGATTCGAACCTGCAGTAATTGCAGGCAGCTGGTCTTAATAACCAGCTTAATAACAGGGTGCCTTAGACCACTGTACTACCAAGGTTCATTGCTATCCGTCGCAACCCCTTTGATTTCATTCCCCCCCCCCCCCCGCCCTGTGGCAATAAGGTATTATGAATTTATCCTGACTCGCCATCAGCCGAGTGTATTATTCCAACCTGCTTTGCCAAGAAAAGCGATTTTTGTCTGCACATCTGATCATTAGCAATCGCGGGGAAAAAAAATATTCCTGTTTGTTTCTATTTTATAGAGCTTTGGCTTCAAGGGGTTTGGGGAAGGGTCTTTTCAGGCAGAAGGTGGGTGGGTGGGCTTTAAAAAGACGGCAACGACAGACAATGAATTGTATTTTTGTGTGTGTGTGTGCGTGTGTCCCGTTCCCTCCACGTCTCTCTGCTCTTGAGGTTTGATCCCGAATCGGACAGGGCTGGCATTTGAATCCGCCCGATCTGTGGATCTTCTTCCTTCTATATATATATTGCATTTTTTTTTTACAGGATACCGTTTTTTGCGTGCACGGCAAAATCTCTTCGGAATAAATTGTCTTTTGTCAGGATTGTGATCTGTCAGTGGTTCTCTAATCCTGTGTTTCCCAATCTGGGGAAACTTTTAAAAAAAGAGTGGACTTCAATTCCCAGAATTCCCCAGCCAGCAGAGCTGGCTGGGGAATTCTGGGAATTGAAGTCCACTCGATTTAAATTTCCCCAGATTGGAAAACATTGCCTTCATCCCTGCAATATGTCACTTCCTTTCTCTGTTGCACTGTCTGGTCGAGACACTGGCGTTGTGGGGGAGGCGGGGGGAATATTTGGGCCTTTCTTTTTTTTATAATTAGAGACTTTTAATGGTGTTGCAGCCTAGAACAGACTGAAGCCGGGAGCTATGGCACACCACGGTGGATAAGAAGAGGAGGCTAGGAGATGGGGGGCTCCCCTAGGCCCGTGGTTTTTTTTTTTTTTTAAAGCAATTTTTAAGATAAAAAGCAAAAAAAGCTGGGAATTTTAAAAGAGTTTTGCCTTGAATGGCAGCTGAAATATTCGTTTATTTCTCCCCCCCCCCCCACCACCTCTCTGGCCTTCCAGATGTGATTGGACTTCCGTTTCCAGCATCCCCTGGAACTGCTGGGAAATGTAGTTCATCAACACCCGGTTAGGAAGGGTGCTATCGATTGCCCCCCCACCCCCATGTTTAAAAAGGCCTCGTTGAAGTTTTGGCCTCTTTTCTCTTCGTCCCGACGGCAAATTCCTGGGTTGCTTCACTTTAAAATATAAAATAGCAATTTTCCCCATCCTTCCCCTTGACGTCCTTTTGGGAAATTTGGTTATTTGGCCACTGCTTTTGGGATTTTGGCATCCCTTGGGGGAGAGCTGGGGATTAAGTGGCCTTTCAAAGAATTCTTTTAGCCTCCTTGCAGGGGTGAAATGCTACCGGTTTGCTCCGGTTCCAGCAAACCGGTAGTGATAAAAAGCTATGATCCGGCGATCGGCTGTGCCGCACGGTTTAGCTTTGCTAGAAAGCAGGATTTCCCAGGTGCAACTGGGCTTTATTTTTCCTTGAAGGCATTTCGCTTCTCATCCAAGAAGCTTCCTCGGTTCTGACTTCAGTCCAAGAAACGTCTTCAGTCCTTCCGTCAGAACAGAAGAAGCTTCTGGGATGAGAAGCGAAACGTTTTCAAGGAAAAAACAAAAACAAAGTCCTTTTGAAAAATAGCACTTTCGGGAGAACCAATCAGTTGGCAACCTGGAGGAAGAAAACAGTTGGGCAACCTAGCAGCCCCTTCCATCCTCTGGACCGCCTGTTCCTACCACCCTGTCTGTGCCATGGCTCCTGGGTCTCCGTTCGGACGTTTCTACTTTCTACAGCCTTTTGCCAGGTTATGCTGTACGTTAGCCATTAAAAAAAAAAAAAAAAAAAGATTATAACCTCCGTTTGACTCCTGAATCTTGGTGTGTCTCCGCCGGACTCATCTCCTGCGTCGGATGTGACTGGGAGCTGCTGAATGACCTGGTCCAACCCCTGTCAGAACCCACAAAAGAAAAAAATTATTTCGTGGCTGCCCTTCCTGCGAGTCTCCAAAGGAAACTTCAACGGCGAGCAAGAAAAGTCATTTATTTTCATTTTCTCGTTCGTTTTACTTCCCCCAACAAAATTGTACAGGTGGGCTTCAAAAATTTTAGGAAGGGGTTCTCTGCCCCGTGGCTGGGGTGTGTGTGGCCATGGTGGCCGTGGCCTAGTCAGCCTCCTGCACCATGGTGTGTGTGTGGGGGGGTGCGTTTTTGCCCTCCCCGGGCTCTGGAGGCCTTCCTCAAGACTCCGGGAGGGCAAAAATGGCCTCCCCAGGCTCTGGAGGCTGGAAACAGGCCCATTTCCAGCCTTCCAGAATTTCTGGTAGGCCCGTTTTTTGCCCTCCCCGAGCCTCTGCGCGCGCCCTGCACTTACCTGCATCCGAAATGGGCCGCGTGGGGACTCGGGAGGGGAGGAGTGGGCGGCGCCAGCCAGGAGTGGGATTTGGGGGTTCTCTGAACTGCATAGAATCTTAGCTAGAGGTTCTGACGAACCCTCAGCAGCCCAACCCTGGTTACGACGGCATTGAAAACAGTGACTTAGGGCCGTTTTTCACACGGTCTCGTATTTATGACGGTTGCAGTATTTCCCCCCCCCCCCCGGGGTCGTGTGTGATCCCCCTTTGCAATCTCCTGACAAGCAAAGTCAAGGGAGAAGCCGGATTCACTTAACAGCCATGTTCCTAATTTATGAACTGCAGCCCTTCGCTTTGCCAGTGTGGCAAAGAAAGGCTGTAAAACGGGCCAAAGCTCACTTTTAACAACCGTCTCGCTTAGCAGAAATTTGGGGGCAGGATTTTGCTCGTAAGTCGAGGACTGCCTGTAGGTAAGTGGGCCGGCTTTGTGTCTGGAATTCCAGAGACATTTTTCGATGCTCCCGGCTTCCTTCGGCGACGGCGAGTCAAGCGTGGCAGGATCGGAGTTTGGATTTGGGGGTGCAAATCCATGCTGGACCTCTCGCCCTGACGGGCCCGGGTTCAAAAGGCAGATTTGCTCAAAGGGAAGGCCGACCATCTCTGCTCTGCAGTTTCCTGGGGAGTGTTTTTAATTTTCCAACGGATTTCATGTGCGCTCCGCAGGGATTCGGCTTCGTCGCGTACGCGGCTAATTAGAGAAGTTCCTTCCTGCCCTCTTTGTCATCGCAACCGTTTTCGCTTCCCCTTTGAATTTGCTTCCAAAGCCCCCAAATTCCCGGCCAAGGAATACTACGAATTTCCCCTGCGGGATTGACTTCTTAAAGAGGAATGCCAGCTTTTTGGGCTTGGCTCCTGGGATCTCGGCTGACTTGTGACCTATTGCTCCAAGCAGCGTTGGGCCTTTCCTTTGGCAGATTGCAACTGTGCGAATCATTGTGGAAAACGCAGGTTGTGTTGTCGGTGGAGGTTCTTAATCATCCAAGTCCTGGTTGTCCCAAAGGTGACAATTTTATTTATTTTTTTCCTTCCAAAGACAAATTGGACTTTCTCGGTTAAGGAACCAAGCAAGAAAATCCAGTTCTTTCCTTTTGAAAATAAAAAATTTAAAAGCACTTTTGGGACACAAGTTGCGTTGCACGGAAAAGTGCCAGGATGGTCTGTGGTTGCTTCCCTTCCCTGATTACAGCTAGTTCTCAACTTACGACCCAAACGGAGCCTCAAATTTATGTGGCTAAGTGAGAAATGCGTGAAGTGAGTTTTGCCCCATTTTGCGACTTTTCTCGCCACTTCTGTTAAGTGAACCACTGGAGTTCTTAACGGGGGTGTTAAGTGAATTTGACTTCCCCAATTGGCTTTGGTTATCAGAAGGTCGCAAAAGGGAATCCTATGACCTTGAATCACAGCAACGGTCGTAAGTATGAACCAGTTACCAAGCTTCTGGATTTTGAGAGATGCTGCAATGGTGAGAAATGGTCCTAAGTCAGGGGTGAAATGTTCCCGATTCGGACCGGATCACCCGATCCAGTAGTGATGGCGGCAGGTGGTTTGGAGAATCAGTAGCAAAAATCCCTGTGCCCCCCCCCCCCATGCACAGCTGAGCCGCACAATCATCAGAGGCTTTTTTTTTTTTTTTTACTATTAAAAGCATTTTTTCTACAATTTTTTCTTTCAAGGAAAAAATGCTGTTAAAAGTTTTTTAAAAAAAGCCTCTGATGATCTCGTGGCTCAGCTGGGATCCTCAGAGGCTTCTAAAAACATTTTTTTCAGCAACCTCTTGGTCGAAGAGGTGGTTAAAAAAATGTTTTGAAAAGTCTCTGACGATCCCAGCTGAGTTGCCTGATCGCCAGAGGCTTTTCAAAGCATTAGAAAAAGTGCTTTGAAAAGTTTAAAAAAAAAAAAAAGTTGGCCACGCCACCCAGTCACATTACCAGCCCCCCACCAAGCCACGCCCACAGAACCGGTAGTAACACATTTTTACATTTCACCCTTGTCCTAAGTCCCTTTTTTTCAGTGCCCTTGTAACTTCCAACGGTCACTATTGTAAGTTGAGGACTGTCTGTATAATTTCCTTGCATTTTTTCCAAACAGCTGCTACAGCAGTGACGGCTAACATTTTGGGTGCCGAATGCCCAAAGCGTGCCCGTGTATGTGCCCGAACCCCCAAAATGCAATGCGAATGCCTCTCCACGCATATGCCCTGCCTCATGCATGCATACGCATCCCTGCGCTTGTGCCCTGCCCTGCCGTGCATGCGCCCAGGGCCTCCTGCACCCCGTTTTAGCTTCCAGGTTGGTGCAGGAGGCTTTCCAGGACCAAACCAGGGTGCCGGGGTGTGTGTGTGTGCATGCATGCAAAAGCCAAAAATGCAATACGTGTGCCCCCTGCACATGCGTCCCCCGCATGAGTCTCGTGCATGCGCCCCGTGAATGCACGGCAGAGACCCAAAGACCAGCTGGCTGGGAGAAGGCGTGGGCGCATGCGCGGTGGAGCTGGGCTGGTGTGACGGCTGGTGTGCCTGCAGAGAGGGACACAGGTTCATCATCACAGCCTTTGAGGTGACCTCAAGCGACTTCTGAGCTTCTCAGCTCACTGCCTGCTCTGAAATGACAATACACCAACCTTCAAAAGCAGCCAATGGATTTCTGAACCTTTGTTTGCAGATTTTAAGCGTGCATTTAATGCCCACAATTTTGGCAACTCCGGCGCAGATCTTTTGCAAAGGCGCAACACTTCTCCACATATTGCTTCAGAATAGATTTTGGAGTCTTTTCCCTCTTACTCAGCACAGCTGGGTCTGAAATGAGAAGAGAGAGAGAGAGCCAGAGCTGGCTGAGAAAATTAAAATATTATCTCCCCCCGCCAAGCCGTAAATCTGTCAAACCCAGGCCTGCTACTGTATTGGGCAAGGATCCCGCTAGCAAAGGATTCGGTAAGCCGTGGCCTTGTTAAATATGTAGGTTTGGTTGGTATCAGGGGAAATAACTCAATGCTTTCCCCAGCTGGTGAATAAATCCCCTCCAGCTTTTTAGCTCCTTGCGGACGGTGGGACCAGCTGAGACCAAGAATTGTTTTGGAGA